CAAGTGAGCTTTAATCATTCAAATTTATTTTATTTTGCTGGCGAACAAATCTTAGGCAATATTTCATTTCAAAGTACACATGAGAAATTAGTATTAGATGGACTTTTTCTTGAATTTATCGGTGAAATTGGTTTTACAACACGAGAAACAAGGCGGCGTCATGATAGTAATGGGCATACTCGTACAGAACATTATACAGAATATCATCGTATACCATTTATCACTGTTTGTATTCCTGTAGTTCAACCTCAATATGGACAGGTAAAAATATAATGATAGATATTATAATTCTTGTTTTATTTTTTCTAGCGTGAAATTACATTATATCGTGGTCAATATTCTTGGCCATTTGAATTTATTCTTCCACAATGTTTACCTCCATCATCAGTTCCGTCCACAATTGAATATCCTTATGTAAAATATAATATGCGTATTGTTCTTGATAAACCTTGGTATAAATTAAATAAAACACAAACTTATTCATTAATAATATTTCCACGTGTTAATATTTATCAAATGCAACCTGCTCAACAACCTGTTCCTTTTTCACAGACCAATAGAAAAAAAATTCAATTAAGCGGATATCTTCTTCAAGGTGGTGTCGTACCTGGTAAAAGTCTTTCACTTCAAATTAACCTTCAAAATCCAAAACGAATAGAAATAAAACGAATTGAAGCAACATTAACCCAACATCGACAAGTGGCTCGTAGTCATCATGCTGAAATTATTTTTCGAATGGATTTACCTGATATACGTGAATTTAGTGGCACAGATTTGAATCGAACTTTTAATTTACAAATACCTTCTGTTTATTTGGCACCTACTTATACATATATGTCACAATGTTGTAGTCCATCACTTAGTATCAATTTTACTTATGAACTTAAATTAGAGGTAAAAGTACGTGGATTATTTACTGATTTTACAGTAAATGTACCAGTTATAATTGGCACAGAACCAACGTCAGATGAACAACAATTAACAAATACTTTTGTTGAAATGTCTACACCAAGTGCTCCAGTATATGATTATGATGAACCACCACCAGCCTATGAATCAGTGGTTTCAAATATAAAAGAATAAAAAATAAATATTATTATCTTTTTTATCAAAAATTTTTTTAATTATTGTATTTGCTTTGGCGACAAGAATTTGTAAACAAAATAAATGACATTAACGCATGTAGCAATAATAAAGGCGTATTCAATTTGAAGTATTGGTCACATTTATCATTATCGCATGAGGTTTTAATATTGAAGATATACTGTTCAAGTTGTTCACGCTATTTGAATTATTAAGTTTTTAGAAACGTTAAAAAAATATTCTTGTTTAGCAAATCATTTATTAGCAGACTTGTGAATTCTTTTTTTTAATTATGCCTCTTGATGACCACGTCTGAGAATTCTTGGTAACTCAAAATGTTTATGTCTAATATTGAGTCTTTTAATTCAAGATCAAGAATTATTGTGATCGATTTATTTAGCTTTCTTATTTCACTCTACATTGTAAGCTAGTAAAAAAATCATAATAATTCAAATCTCCGAAGTAAGATAGAATTGAGACAGTACTTTATTATTTCTCTGAAGAAATTAATTTTTTTCCAGCTCTTTATGGTGACATGTCACCATGACATTGGATCAACAAGTGTTGTTTTATTTACACATTTACATACGTTAGTAACGATACAATCAATGTTACCTGATTAAATATTTATTGTTAGTTAAAGAGATCTATGAACATCGCCGATTGAAAATTCACATAATCATAATATATTGTAAACATTTTTAGTCAGTCAATATAAAAAAAGTAATTGAATAATCATGCATCAACATAGTGTTTAAATTTATCATATGAATAAATTTATTGTATTTATTCGTAAAGATGTATTGATCACTGATATTTATGAATTGAGGCTCTTTCTTTGTTGCTCACACCCCCTCTATTTACAACGTCTGCTGATTTGTTTTTTAAAGCATTGACATTATCCTTATTATTTAGTCACTATTATTTCACCTTTGTCCTCTTAGCTGATATCTAAAATATACAAAAATAGAGCCGACAACACATTATTTGCCTCTTGCTCCTACATACAGTATTTGTCAACTGACATTTACGTACGAATGATTGAGAAAAATTTTGTTAAGCTTATACTTTGATTCGTTACTGTCTCAATCTTATAGACGTATCATATATTTGGTTAAATTGATATTAATAATAAAACTATGTAAAGTGACAGTAATGAAATTCGTTTTCTAATTTTCGCGAACAGACAATACGTAATGTTTTATTTATAAAAATCTAAAGTCAAGTATTACTGGATGAAGTTTCTCTTGACATTTATTACTGAATATAGTTCTACAAAAGAAGAAAAACATCCCGCTTATGATGCAAATGTTAATAGTCATGTGTAGTCTTACACAGATATCCATAAAATATTATTTACTAATATTCATTATTCTCTGAGAAAGGTCAATTTTGAATATTGATGAAATATAAAATCTTGCCTTGCACTTTTAGCATGAAACAATTCTTGTTTTTTGTGATTGATATATTCTTGACAATTTAAATTTATTCTTTTCAATATACCATATACAAAACAAATTAATCGATTAGAAATAATTTGATACGTTAATCATTCTCTTATATAAGATATACAACAATATTAATTGTTTTTCCTAATCATAATCATTAGAATGTTCAGTTATAAGTTAATTTTCATTAAAAAAAATTTTCTTTTTTTGTGATGAAAAGTTTCTTTTTGAAATTAATCTTCGAAATTCAGAACGAGCAGAAATTTGAATCTCGTGAAATAACATTTATTTAATATTAACAAATCGACTCAAATCAAAATAATCAAAGTATATTTCTAGTCAATGCTGCAGCTGTAAAACTTTCTACTAAAATTTTCAAAATTGGTTAAGTCATAATGAAAAAGATCTGTCTTACTAAAAACTTGTATTTACCCTTCAGCCGACATATCTAATGAGAAGAGAATATTTTAGTCAATTCAAAGCGATTTCTAACAAAATTCAAATTAGAGAAAGATATAATAGTAGTCTTTGAAATGAGTGGTTGAACGAAAATATTTATCATAAGGCAATGACAAAGAGAAAAATTTTGTATGAACCATAACACCAATACATGTGAACCGATGAAAGGCAGATTTGATGCTTTCAATCAAGATTTATTGTCGCACGTGTACACTCAAAATATTAGTTCAGTATCACAAAGAATAGTAGCACCTCATGATGAAACAGCTATTAGTGTCTGTCAGGTCGATCCTGGCCCAAGTCTAGTGAGGTCCAAGTAGAAGAATTTTGAATCCGATGGACTGTAGTTACCTGAGAAATGTATAGAGTGCGCTAGTCACGAAATACAAAAAAAATACAAGACAGTATCTCGTATATTCTGAGCGACTATCCAGTTCCAATTAGTAAATTTCATTCAGTGTAACAATGTACGATTCGACTGTATTTAAGTTCTAAAATTCTGGACTTGATAAATTCTAGCAGCTTTCTCTTTTGTCCAGAACTGTATATTAAATATGGAATAAATATTGATATTGCGGTGAGAATTGGCCTTCTTCAGAATGTTTTTGTGACATATACAAAGGTGCTATGAATGTAACTATTGGTATATATTTCTTTGTTTATGCGTTTTGATGATAGTGGTAAGAAAACGACATCAAGGTTTTCTCGTCGACTGTACAATCATGAAAAGAAAGACAAGAAAGAAAAAAAGAAATATATGCCTGTAGTTAAATGAATATCACCTTTGTTTATGTGACAAAAACGTTCTGATATAGGGCAATTCTGACCAGACCATGAATATTTATTCAGTATTTAATATAGTCTGTTTTATTCTATTTATATAGTTGGTTTTAAGGTATATGTTACGTATTTATTTATTTCATGTTATCAAATAAATTAATATATACGAAAAGAGAACCAATATCATACTTAAAATTAATATTGATCTTCCTTAACAGATTTCAATTTCAAGTCGTGAAGTCTGCAATCGTACAATTTATCAATATACAGTAGTTAAATTAACTATTATATTTTTTGATTACTTTTTATGAACAAGCGTATCATTAATATTATCAGTAAAATGATGTATCTATCGTTTAACTTTTGTATTGATGAATCAATCAAAAGAAAAATGCATATGATTATTAGAAATCTTCAAATGCTTTCTATCAAGCTTCTTGGATTATGAATAGAGCTAACTAATAATATTTATTCATGCAGCAGTTCATAGTATAATAGCAAAGAGAAATAGCTGTTTTTTTTTTAATTTTTTTCATCAAGTTTTGAATCAAACAAATAAAAACACTGATTTAAAAATGTCGGGATTTTTAACGTTGTGTGCCTTGAATTTAAGTGTTTTCTTATAATTTAAGTCTTTAGGTAGAATTCCGTTGTTAAAAGAAGACAATTTATACATTTAGAAAATGAGGTCTAGCATAATAATTACAAAAAAGTGATGTTTTTCATTTTTCTAAAGTTTTGATTACACAGGTTTTTTTATCGAAGGTTGCTAGAAAATTAAAAAAAAATCACTTGTTTGCTTTCGGCATTTTTAATCGAAAAATTCTAATTTCAGCTGTATCATTCTTTTGTAATAACATAGTTCGTAAATATACTTTTTCTCGTGTCATTTACTGTGTATTTGATTCGGTCCGGTGACTTGCCATATAAAATCATTATAATTACTTTCATATATATCTTTGTATATTTTGCTTTGTGTTCGTTGCATAGACAATTACCTTAGAAGTAAAACTGCGCATATATGTACTAAAATTGTTTATCACTTGTTTCTTATACCTTTGTGATATGTCAACTAGCTCTTAACGAGGAGAGTAGAAACGTTGATTTTTTCCCTATGTGATGACTCTTACATTTCGTTTTTTTGACACAAAATATAAGTAGGCGAATACACTCCATTTTTTAATACTAATCGTAGCATATCTATCACAACCGATCATTCAAAAAAAAATAATGGGGATAGGAAAGAGCACGGTAGCTAATGTGAGCTTCAATCATTCAAATTCATTTTATTATGCTGGTGAAAAAGTAACTGGAGTTATTTCATTTAATAATATTTTTAAAAAGTTAACATTACATAAAGTTTCACTTGAATTTACTGGAGAATTCGGCTATATAGAACAACAATTACAGCATTGTAATGATGGTATTGGTCATATACACACAGAAAATCGTACAATTCAGCATCGAATACCATTCATACATATTCCTCTTCCATTTACTGATTCGAAAAATAATGAGGTAGTATATCTGAATAAAAGTCCAGTAAACAACTACACACTTTATAATTTTTATTGTATTTCTAGAATAAAATAACTCTGGACCGCGGTCATTACTCTTGGCCATTTGAGTTTACTCTTCCTGAATATTTACCACCATCATCAGGCTCATCAAAAAGTTCACATCCTTATATAAAATATTCCATATGTCTTGCTGTTAATCAATCATGGTATAAATTAAGTAAAAAACAAAATTATCCGTTAACAATATATCCACGTGTTGATATTGCGAATGTAAATGAAGATGGACAATCTATTGTTGTGTCTCATCGAAATCGAAAACATTTACAATTTAAAGCTTGTTTAAGTCATGAAAGTGTTTTACCTGGTGGCAAATTTTCTCTTGATATTGATCTTGAGAATCTTAAACGATTAAAAATAAGTGGAATTGAAGCAATATTAATTCAACATCGAGAAATCGCTCAAAATAATCATTCTGAAGTTATTTTTCAAAAGGATTTACCAATTCCAGCAGATTTTAATAAAACAGAATTTCACGAAACTTTTGATATGCATATACCTTCTGGTCTTCTACCGCCTACATATCAGTATATGGCATCATGTGATAATTTATCGATTTATACTAATATTCAATATGAACTAAAATTAGATGTTAAACTTCATGGTTACCTTAATGAAATGAATTTAAGCATTCCAATTATTATCGGAACAGAATCGTCATTGGAACAATTTCAACCGAAAGAAGATAGTTACTACGAAATGTCAACAAATAATACAACAGTTCTGAGAGAAAGGAATGCGCCGGATATTTATGAACCGTCAACTGAAAATCTGACAACGCTGTAAACTATATTCTAATCATTCGATGTGTTTTTTGTGCTCGTTCGACTTTTACTTTTATACATTTTCAATCAAAATTAATACGTATCATGCACATTTATTTTTATGCTATTATAAAAAAAAAAAGGTTTTTGCCAAAATCTTTTTTTTTGCTTTACTAATAGCTCTCGACGCAATACTAAATATTTTTATCTTAATAAATATCGTTTTATGAATAAGTTATCATACATATAAAAATTACAACACATACTTGCAATTAAAACTAAACTCATACTCAACATTTTGTGTAAAAAATAAGTCACGAGCAAATATTTTACATATAAATAAGGATATCGTCAGATTATATTTACAGAAGTAAACAGTTGCCATGTGTCGAATCGACCTATACAAACTACAGTCGTATTTGGTTGTCTATCTACATTGATTCACATTGAGTTTTTACATCATTCGAAAGCTATCTGTTCGAAATATTTGATAAGAGTTTGAAGATTTTGATAATTTGGTTTGTTCAGTCACATGTAATTTTCGAATGAATATCTTTCTTATGATTGTTTTCTCATCGATGTGAAACTAATACACTATTTACTCCATAATAATGGTGTCAAAACAAAAAAAAACATAGGACTGTTGAAACAAACAAACAAAAGACTCCAAAATTGAACATATACGTTTGACAATGCTGCTACTTGATTATGAATAAGTAAATAAATAAATAAATAAATACTTATGAAAATGTTCACATTTCAATTTATTAGTTCTTCACTTTTTCTAATTCTTGTTCTTTTGTTCGACCACTCATACACAACAGTTTGTTTTAGTGTTACATTGATTTGAAATTAAGAGAGAAGATAATATGCATCACCTAAGATTTATTTGAAAATTTCAATACTACAAAACAATATCATAGACGTATTTGATGTTACCATAACAGAGACTATATCAAGTTTAGTTCTTGATGTGATATTCGATTGACAAAAGAATTATTGTGTAAAAACATGTCCTTTGACTTTCTATTTGAAATTTAATATGTTTACATTCAAATGATCCGTTTGTTATCGATAAATCAACTTTTTCTTATCTATTAAAATGGCAGTGGTAATTTTCCCTCGACACTATCTTCATTTGACCTGACTCAAACATTGTTTTCGATTTACGGCATGATTATTTTTCCATGGGTTTCAATGAATTCCTCATTATTTGTCATGTTTTGAAAGATGATATGTTTTTCCTTTTTGTACAGTAGCTATAAAAGCACGAATATTTTACATTAATTTCATAACAATAAGAAATCGAAAGAATATTTCACTAATGATTTACTTCTTCTTTATTTGCTGGTGTTTGCTTGTTCGTCTGGATCGAAGTGAACAAACAGATGTGTCTTCTTGGTATAAAACTCAAATAATCGATACAGTTATTCCACCATATCATGCAGCTTATACAACATTAAATGAAAAAATCGTACGTCGATTATTAACGGTCAATATTGACAGTGATGAAACAACAATAGGAACATTAGTTGATTCTCTGGTATGTGCAAGTCGAAATGTACAAAACAAATTAAGTGAAGCAACTAACGCTAGTGAACAAATCCGTAATTCACTTGATGAAAAAATAGCTCAACTTGTTCTTTTAATTACTAATCAAGAAAATAAAGTACAAGAAAGTCAACAATCTGTTAATCAAGCAAATATCAATATTGAACATGCTCAACAACAAGTTACAACAGCTGAAAACGCTGTTCGAGATAAACAAAATGCATTGAATGCAGCCGAACATGATATGCATGAAGCACAAAAAGCAGTTGAACGTGCTCGTTTATGCGGTGGTCGACGACGTCGAAAACGTGGTTTTGGTAAATGGTGGAGAAAAAGAGTTGAAAAACCTTTTGTTCACGCTATTCGTCAAACAGTTATTAAACCTGTATGTAGTGTAATTAATTCAGGAGGTATTGATAATGCTAAAGAACGACGAGCAATAGCTGCACATACGTTTCATGAAGCTCAACAACGTCTAACTCAGTATCAACAAAATTTAGCTCATCAACGAGCACAACATGCAATAGCTCAAACACAATTAAATGAAGCGAATTCTCAATTAAATATTCTTACAGGTCAACTTAATGAACAAAGAGCAAAACAAACAATTATAACATTAATTATTAAACAATTTAAAAGTATTGAAATACATTTGAAAGATGTATTAGGGTCATCGATCGTTCTTGAAGATGCCATAAGTCAATTAATTAATTTTGAACTTGTTATTGCACCACTTCATGCTATTTATAAGGAAATGATTACAAATAATGTGATGAACTCTTTCAATTTTGAAATTTCAGCTGAAATGGTAGCAAAAATTTTAGAAAATTTAAAATTTTTAAAGGAGAAAATGCCTAATTTGCCACTAAATGAAATTATAGTGGAAGAAACAAATATTAATTGTGCTTAAATATCAAAAAACATAAATAAATTTTGTTTTTCTTTTTTTCTAGATGATAATCATAGTTTGTCTTTTATGTGTTCCTATTATCTTCGGCTCGCAACAGCTGACACCAACAGATTTCAGTGTAATTTCATCAAATATTGATCCATTGATGGATCAAACTACTATTGATAAAGCATGGGAAGATTGTATGATTACGGCACCGGCTACTATTAATCTACTCGGTCAAGTTATGGTTGTTGCAAGTAGAGTAGATGTTTCATTTGATCATTATTCACCTAATCGTGTCTATCAATACATCAAATATCCAAAATCATTTCGTGCAACTCTTTTACAAATCTCAAACGGTATTTGTTTTTTTGCGAAATATATTATTCTTTTCTATTGATATATATTTATTATGTTTAGATGGTTATCGAGCTTTTCTCGGCGCTCACACATCTATGAATAAAATTCAATTATATATGCAACAAATTCCTCTAAATATTAAAACTATAATTAGATTATTATCAAGTAAAGCTTCAACAAGTCTTGTCAGTCGATTGTTACCAAAAGTAATAAATAATATTGAACGTATTGGTCAAACATGTGTTACATTATCAAAAGGTACGGAAAATTCATTTGTTGATGTTATGGACCTTCTTGGTGAAGTATTAGAAGCAACAGAAGTAACACGAGGTTTACATGAAAAAGATTTAAATGATAAAATTATTGAATTAAATGTTACACGTATTATTCATGCTGATATGAAACGTGAAGAAGAAGTTCGTCGTCAACATTACGAAGAAATTCGTCAAGCTGTACGTGATGCACAAGCAGAATATTCTCGTGCACTTAGTGATATTCCAACTGGTTTTAAAGCACTTGGTCTTGAATTAGGTCGAGCTGTTATTGGATTAGTTAAATCATTTTCTAATATTATGAGTTCAAATCAAATGGGAAGATTTAATCCATCAACTCAACAATCTTCTGGGAACAATGGTGCTGGATCATTTGCTAATAATCAAATAATAAATTTTGCTTCACGTTTTGCTCAATCACTTGATTCATTAATTGAACGAATATCTTCAAGTGAAAATCAAACTCTAGATGAAAAAGAATTTCAAAGTTTTAAAGTTATATTTGGAACATTCGGCAAGATGATTAATAAGATTCCGAGTAGTAAATCTAAAATGAAAGCAACTCAACTCATTCAACGTGCTATTGATTCAGTTGATGAAGCTATAAATGATAATAATTCAGATATTAAAAATGAATTAGAAGAATTAGCTGATGAAGTTAAACCATTTATGGCTGCTGAACAACTTTCAAGTAACAATAATGCACCGATATCTGTACCCACAGAAAGTGATTCATCAAAAAATGAATTATTAAAAGCTCAATTAGCTCAGGTACGTCTGTCCGAAACAGAAAAACGTCTTGATCAACAATATGCTACTTATGCAGCAACTATGGAACAAATGCGTTTATTCACAGCAAAATTAGCTAATCTTGATTTAACAGTTATTCATTTTAAACAAATTCTTGAAATGTTACGTGAAGCATTACGTTTACTTGGTCTTCTACGTCAACATTGGCATAAATTAGTTGAATTTTTTACAAATTTTTCAGCACAAGTTGCAACAGGCTTTGATGAAACACTTAAAACATTTCTTGATACAACACGTGTTAATATTGATTTAGAAACAACTGAAGTTGATCGTGTTCTCATATTAGAACTTTTAAATGGTAATTCGCTTAATCTTTATCATGAATCATATACACTTTTTATAATGGCTCGTACTTATTTTGATGTATCAAAACAATATCTTATGCCACGTCTTGCTGGTCTTTCACTTATGTTAACAGCTGAAAATGATAATGAACGACAAAGATTGCTTAGTGAACTTGAAAGAAATACACTTGATGTTCAAGCTAATGTCACACAAATTGTTAATGAACGAAAAAGAATCTATAGAAAAATAATCACTGAAAAACGTGCAGCATTTAATGAACAAATTGATAATCAAGGTGCCGATGGAAATGAACTTACTATAATTCACGAAGGAAAAATGCTTCTTGGATATGAAAATACTTTAAATGAATGAATCACTAATTTTTGTTTTTGCTACATATTAAAAAAATAATCTGTTTTTTTCTTTTTTCGAATGATACAATCTTCATAATAAAACATTATTTGTCATATGACACATAGAATCATTGTTTTTTTGCCAATATTGTATATAACTATAAGAAATTAATCTAATGGATGGTGCTGACTAAATCGGGCAATATCATTTTCTTCCTAGGATCAGTCCAATACACATTCAGAAAATCATTCTATGGAAAATTTATCACTCTACGATGACTACGATATCATCAATTGATATTGTCGGATATGGAATTTAATTCTGAACAAAATTTTGTGACTGTTCAGTTGAAGAGTACAAATAGTTAAATCTCCTACATATTAGAAGACCCGAGTCTTGTGAAAAACCTTTCGTTTAAATCTTTTTTTTTCTTTGAAATGTTGCTGAACGGTATCTATTGAAGAATCAAGATTGCGAAGGAATAGAATGCAAAGTCTT